ATATAGACATAGATATATATACAGATAGTCTGTCTCACACTGAGCAACACTTGACTTCTTATAGGTAGCGAAGGTGTGTTTCACTGAGTACGGAGACGAGGCAGATATCTTAGTGGCGGAGTTATTGAAATGTCTTCCTACGAAGTCCAAGCGAGGTGTGTATTCAGTTAGCTGTGGGCATGCATCCACGCTCCATTACGCGTCTCAATTGCTCTGACTTCAACATCTGTTTGAGATAACACCAGAGCTTTGCCATGTGTTGTAGTGGGTCTCGCAAAGCGATCGGCCCTTCATTTGCAGCTTTGTGGCTATCTTTTGAGATACTAAAATGCGGTTTGGATTTGAACACGCACTCGGAATATAGCTGTCGTTAGTCCACGCATGTTACACCTCACTAGACATTTACACACGCAAGTTTCTCATGCCAATCAATAGGTAGTGCCTCTGCCAAGTCTGACCAACAGCGAACTTCCTTCACCTCCGCCAGTCGCTCGTCAACTAAAAGGTACATGGCTGTAGGTGTCTTGGCGTGTTATGGGCACGAATGTTCATGAGTTATCGGGTGAGTGTACGTGAAGGGAGTTGCTTTGTGTGCAAGTTCAACAGACCCATATTTGATTGTCCAGAGCTATAGTCGTCACTGTAGCACTCTGGTACGGATTATGAGCCAATGAATCGAGATGCGTCTACTGATTTCAGGACATTTCACTTGTAGTCACTACCCTCCCGACTCCTCAGCGCGTGTTCTTATTGCGCCAATGTTTGTACTTTGGGGTTTACAATTAGGTCCTCGCGAGATGCTGATGCAGATGACGAAAGGAGAGGCATAGGAACACGTCCCACGAGGTGTGTCTGATGCTATCGTTCATTCACCGGTTATTGCTGTGTGTCGTTGGCGATGGGAGACATTGTACACTGACTTACGCTAAAATGCCTGGGCTAATACACATCGCAGTAGTGGCCGTGTCACGGCGCGAGTTGTGTGCACCAACTGCAGCATTTGTCAACATTGAGAATGAATAGGCGAGCCCAATCCTAATTGTAATTTGTATTACGGTTTAGAATGAATAATATAAGCTGATTCAAATTCTAATTTATTTGGCCTAGTTTAACAAGAACGATACTGCAGGACTCCTCTCGCGTGTTGGCAGACATATGCAACGCTAACGTATAAACGCACAGACCATCGCATACTTGTGATATAATTTGATCTCAGAGCTTACGCCAATTACTATGAGATTATAGATTACCAGTATTTGAAAACACAACAAACGATTTGATATGACAGCAATTGCAACAGTGCACACTAACTTTTGAGTGTCGTGAATCGATTATATCCTGAGAATATGTGGAAAGTGCTTGTCTACGAGTCTTCGTGTCTATATAGCAGAGTTTGTGAACTTCGGCTCCTGTGGTATTATTGTTTCTTGTTAGATTTGAAGCCGTATGCGGCCCTAACAGTAGTCTCGCCTGCGCGATGGGTTGATTAAAGCTCGAGTGTATTTGTTCGTACTTGTTGGTGGTTCTGAAATCATACCTACCCAGTACAAACGGCACCCTATTATATTATGCAACTGATGCGAGCACCACAGTATGTATTGACTATTAATATCACACTGTGACATGTCATTCATAGTTTGTTCCAAGACATCATAACAAACCTACGTAAACTCACAGTACAATCACCAACAGCCCACACTACAAACATACCACGCACACGCTTAAACCGCAACCACACCACACCGCACCACACTAATCCCCACCATTAGCTGCGGCACTATGGGCCACGATCAAGGAGAAGGCATCGACAGCGCTGACGATGACGACGACGACGACGACGACGATGAAGGTAACAAGCCAACTGTACCTGTCAACCCCACATCACCATATGTGCCGTTGGTTTTGGGTCAGATGGCGGATGGCAAGGACGCGGTTATACCGGCGAGACTCAACCAGTACTTGTACGACTTCCAGCGAGAGGTGGGCAGGATTGTGTGGTGGTTTTAGTGCCTTACTGTAGTGAGATGGGGTGTAGATTGTACAATGAGAGTAGGGGTCTGCATGCCAACCCTAACTGTTGATAAGTGCGAGCGAGAAATCTCTTTAATAATATGAGCTACTTGGCTATGCATGTATTTGGTAAGCCACTTGGCTGTGCATGTATTTGGTAAGCTACTTTGCTATGCATGTATTTAGTAAGCTACTTGGTTGTGCATGTATTTGATAAGCTACTTTGCTATGCATGTATTTGGTAAGCTACTTTGCTATGCATGTATTTTTTAAGCTACTTGGCTATGCGTGTATTTGGTAAGCTACTTGGTTGTGCATGTATTTGGTAAGCTACTTTGCTATGCATGTATTTGGTAAGCTACTTTGCTATGCATGTATTTGGTAAGCTACTTTGCTATGCATGTATTTTGTAAGCTACTTGGCTATGCATGTATTTGGTAAGCTACTTGGCTTTGCGTGTATTTGGTAAGCTACTTTGCTATGCATGTATTTGGTAAGCTACTTTGCTATGCATGTATTTGATAAGCTACTGGACTATGTATGTATTTGGTAAGCTACTTGGCTATGCATGTATTTGGTAAGCTACTTGGTTGTGTATGTATTTGGTAAGCTACTTGGTTGTGCTTGTATTTGGTAAGCTACTTGGCTATGTATGTATTTAGTAAGCTACTTGGCTATTAATGTATTTGGAGTGTATGTTTTTGGGTGCGAGCACGTGTTGCTTTGCGAAAGTTCAGTGTCTCAATACGGGGTTCTAAAGTGCACCTGGTGGGGTTAAACTTTTGTCTGTGTACATGGAGGTTCACCAGATTCTATATAGGGCTGCGGAGATGTGCATGTTGCGGAAAGTATCATGAAAGGCTGTCCATTCTTATATTGGTTTTAATTCGGGTGGTCAAGCAGGTTATTGCCACATGGCCAAAGCCCTCCGCATTCCCCT